GGGGGGGGTGCAAAATAAGAAGAAAACAATTGGTCAAAATAGCAGAAAACTATTAACCAGACAGGGGAGCATGCTGAAACAAATAAGTCATTATAAGAAATCCATTTCTAGCTTTATATGTAACCTGAAAGTAAAGGGACTTCATTTAGATAACCTGGGGCCAAGGTCTTCACATAATATATGAATAGTTAAGAAAAAAGAGTCAAGATGAACCTTATCTTACTGTTAACACTTTGACTATGAATAGTATAACTGAGAACAGTGATTTTTGTTCCGTTACACGAAATGTAGCTCCGTATGCATTTATTTATTAATGTCTAAATCCCAGTAGGCCTTCCCTTGGACTTTTAACATGGATAAAGAATTGATGGAGTGTGCAGTCTTTTTTCGCTTGCGTTGTTGGGTTCTTTCGCCCTTAGCCAATTAATAATACATAATGTGGTCACTCACTCAGCAGTCGTTCATGATGAAAGTATTGAAAGGCAATCATGCTGACGTTATTCTACGTGTCTCCCTAATTTGATGAGATGGTTATCCTTTGTCCCCACATTATAAATGTCATAGTTATGGTTCCAAATCAACTGAAATAATTTCATGTCTACTACAGTTTCTTCTCATGGGACGTGGTCTAAGAATACTCCTTCTCCTCCCCCTTTCCACACACACACACACACACACACACACACACACACACACACACACACACACACACACACACACACACACACACACACACGCACACACTCACACACAGCGCAATAAGGTTTAGATTACGTGTTTCGCTGGATCCATTGCATTAGAAAGGGGTTGTTGAGACAAATAGATAGATGAAGTCTGGACAGTGATCTTTTACAGGAAAAATCAATCTTATATCCAAGGACCCCCACCCCCACCAAAAATGCCCCTAAAAATCCCAAAACATCTTTTTTGATATGGTTTCGTGTTGTTTAAACACTTTTTTTTAAACACAGGTGTTTTTACACGCTCATCGAAACAATGTAGATAATTTCCGACAGGCCAATCAGGGCAGTAAGGGATATAACATCCCAGCAGAAAGATCGATATTCTAGTGAAAATAATTTCCCCACTCTGATATCAGACTCGGGAATCGAACTCGTTAATCGAACCAGGGAATCGAATCACAGAATCGGTCTCGGGTGTCCCGAGTGCGACAGCGAAGCGCTTCTAACTACTACACCAAAGACGTCGGTTAGAACTTTTCATTTAAACAGAGAAGATATAACAATTTATTATTGTTTGTTCGTTATTGATTTCATTCTCAATAAAAATGGAACCGCTAGATATTTACATCTAGACACTGGTAATAGTTACAAAGTTACGACAAATTCGCTACCTCAGAATTACAAATAAGCTCTACCTGCTCAGTACCTAGTTTTGAGAAATGTGACGTAAAAGATTTAGAGTTTGAGATAAGATAAGATACGTCTTTATTGTCCAGATCTTGGCACATTGGTTGGGTATTTCACCACGCGCGCGCGCGCGCGCGCACACACACACACACACACACACACACACACACACACACACACACACACACTCACACACACTCACACACACACACAAACAAACAAACAAACACACACACCCATCCTCCCACATACACGCACGCATGCATGTACACGCACACATTTACACGCACTTACACACACAAACATGAACACACACACGCATATGCCCGCAACATGTGTACACCCATATACACACATACTCTTCCCTCACACATCCTCTCTTCCACACACATCTGTGCACATAACCATAATAATAGTATGCTTGCACTCACAGACAGGCTCACAGTCACATGCATAATATAAATGAACAGTAATATAAACATTAATAGTTTAATTAAGATAGATACGTACTCAGTATTCTGACAGTAACTCGATAGTATTCTGATGCTTGCTTTGAAGGTCATATTATGAAAAATATGATAAAGATCACATTATGTCGAGCTTTTTCGAATGCAATTCTTTGAGTAACTTGATAATGACTCCGAAAAATCTTATAATTTGATAGAGCAGATCGAATATTTTGTTTCTGACCTCATGGTCTTAGTAACTCAAAACAGTAAAAAAAAAAAAAGAAAAAAAAAAGAAAGTCAGATAGAACTTTATAATTCTGAGTTACAGTAATGAGAAGATGGGCTAAATATATAAAATCCGTCTATTTGAATCCAGTCTTATGCATGAGTGTATGAAAGCAAGATGCATGTATGTAGATACACGTACCGAGGCGCTAGATACTGTCTTACTGAGATATAAGGTTTGCTTGACATTAATTTTAATTTGCACACTCAATTTGGAAAGCAACCTAAACCTATGTTAGTTGTGAGAGCATTCTGGCTCGTGACCAGTAGAGAGAGTATTATTCTAGTTGTAAAAAATGATTTGAAAGAACAATTGTAGGTCTATTGCAGCTTTCAGTGCAAGAGTCGAGCATAACAAAGTGTGTGTACACTTTGTCTTTGAGCGAGACCTACGTCTTGTCTATCAGTCATGAGTTGCTGCGAAGGCGAATGTTGAATACAGTGGAAACCATATATAACAGGCCCGGTAATAACAGGGGTCCGGTAATAACAGGGATTTTTTAAAATCTCCGTTATTTCAAACTCTATGTCTTTGTTAAAAGTTATCGACTATAATAGGGCCTCATCGGAGACCAATCGGTTATAGTAGGGACAAAGGCTCGTTAACAATGTGTAAAAAGTAAGAGAGAGGGAGATAAACACAGCGGGTGAAGTGAGAGAGGGCAACGGTGTACTGTAGACTTCGATCTAGCCCTAAGCCTAGCTAAACGCACGCGTATTGTGTCCTGCGCAGGCCATGGGAAACTACCCGTGAATAAATACAGCAGGATTAGTTCACAAATGCTTGCTTCCCTTGCTTTTCTGATTCAACAGGGATCTGATATAACAGGAATTTTTCTCTGGTCCCACGATCCCTGTTATATCAGGTTTCCATTGTATATTGTACGCAGGCCTCGATTGCTGCCACACAGTAATTTGTTGCTGCCAAGTTCTATTTATAACCCTCTTGGTACATACAATGTACTGGCCAAGACCGACAACTAACAAGACTGAAAGTACCAAAGATTCTCCGCTAGACTACCATGTAGTAGAGAATCTTTGAAAGTACAGGATGCACATGTACTAAGAAATGAGGTATAATTAATAGGCATTCTAAGGTCCTCGGCATTTGGTCAAACTTGTTCTGAATGGTGGACCCTACTCACTTGTATTCAGGTTTGCGCGCGCGCTCGCGCACACACACACACACACACACACACACACACACACACACACACACACACACGTTTCAGAGAAGTTAATTCACTGCTTTGGCGCTCTATAAAACATGGGACGATGTAGCTGCTGACTACAGAATCAGAAGGAAAAGTGGAGTGTTATCAAAGTGTTTGCAACACCTAACCTAGTTTAACTCGGGGTCAGAAATCGAGAGGCAACGAACCACCCCTCCCCCCGCCCCCTCAAATCAACTGATTTTCAGGGGAAATAACTGTTATAAAACACTCGTTGTATATCAGAAAGAGAGTTATGGCTCAAACTGAGATACATAAAAATAATATTAAAATGTGAGAAGAATTTGAGCTGAAAAAAAAAGAACGAAGACCTAAAATCTACGCGAACAAATAACAGCCCGTGTTTCACTAATATCTATAGATTCTAGATACAATAGAGATAAAGGAAACATTAGCAAGAAAATGGCCCCCAAATTTGAGAGACTTTCAAAACATGAGAGTCTTCGAAAACTGCATGTCTACTCTTTTTGTGCCTTTGATCGACGTTATTCAGTACACAGGGAAATGTGTTTGTAAATGGGACATTAAACACGAAGGAAAAAATCCGCCCAATAAAAACTGCCCAACGTGCCGAAAATATGTCGGTTAAATTGATTTTATTATTTTGATGGAGCGCCTGATTGTACCACGATGCCATACAATATTGAAGCAGTATGTGAGCTGCTCGATTGATCTTTAGAAAAACTAATAAAGAACAGATAATTCCTTTATCAAACTACCAATTAAAGCTGGAAAAGATTACAAAATTAATTTTTTTATGTCACAAATGCATGAACAACAAAGCACTCCAATTCTTAAAGACTTTATTGAGTCATATTATGTACCATCGAGACATTTGAGATATGCGGATGAGCATCTCACGAGCGTGCCCACAGTTAAGTCCAAGAAATTAAATGGTAGAGCTTTTTTTATCAGCTTTGCCACAACGATTTGAAAGGGAGGGGGGAGGGGGAGACTGAGCGCAGAAGATATCAAGAGTTTTCTTCCTGTTCCTCTGTCTGTTGCCTGTTGTGCTCTCTTGCCGACAAGCCAGTCCATTTTCTTTATTGTTTTGAACCTATTTTTCTTTTGTCCTTCACCACTACCACCACCACTACCACCACCACAAACTACAACAACTACTTTGACAACAACCTGGTAGAAAAAAACAACAAACAACGTACAATTCACAACTACTGAACCTAAAATCTGGCGAGAAACACAGAAGAAGCGGTGGAAAACAATGAGAAGTCTACAGCTTCTTCAATTTTTTTTTACACAACTTCTGCCTTTGTCAGTCTGAGCCTATCTGTCTGTCTGCCGTTCTGTCCTTAAACTCTCTGCTTTCACTAACGACATGCATAAATACTGCCCCCCCCCTTCTCTCTCTCTGTCTCTCTAGCCGCCGTCTGTCTGCATGTTTGTTTCTGTGTGTCTGTGTGTCTGTGTGTCTGTGTGTCCGTGTGTCTGTCTGTCTGTCTTTCTGTCTGTCTGCCTCTCACTCTCTCTCTCTCCCTCCCTC